ATAAATCTCTCGAATTTAATTCTGAAACAAATCATGGTCTAGTTTCAACACGAAACTTATAAGAATTCTTTCCTGGAACATCGTAGTCAAATCGAACGATCCTACAACCAAAACTGACACTCATCGATCCTCTTACTGGGACTAGAGATAAATCTTTTGCCAAATTTTTCATTAGTGTCCCAAATTTTCTTTATTTGATAAATATTGAATTTTAGTTCCAAGGTTCCCTAAGGCTTCTCAAGCATTTTTTTTCCCCTTCTGCACTTGAGATTCACCCTCTATGTCAATAATAAAATCCAAAAATTTCTAAATTTAAGGTATTAAAGTAAGAGTTATATATCTGTTGTGGCTCCGGTGTTACCATTCAAATCCGTCAAGAATGAATAAAGCGTAGGCAAGCATTTCATTTTTTCAAATTTCGTTTCTTGAAATTAAGTTCTAAACTTTTAGTAGGTTCATATTGGGGGAATTTCACCCAAGATTCATACAGGAAGCTAGAGTTCATTACGATCTAAAGGCTGTATTTCATTTAATTTAAAGAAATGGTAAATTTCCTAAGTTTTAAATTCTGGACCGAATTTGCATTTTATTATTTCTTTTTGTGGCTAAAATAAACTTAAAAGAAAATACCTATGTGTACACCTAAGAAGTTACAAAATTTAGAAGAAATTAGATAGGCAATAGAAACCTCATCGTATTTCTAAAATAATGAATGTTGGCAAAAAGGGAGAAGGCATGCGTTAGACGACGTTGGCAGTAGCGAGTCTAAAGCTCAATAGGACAAGTGGCAAATGCTGAGCGGAGAGAATCGTTCAGCTACTAATTGTGACATGCATGTAGGTTAACCCGATCCCTAAACCTGGATTCGATCAAAAGCTTGCGTGTGCAACTCGTTAACCTTCGACCCTAACAAAAAATGCAACCTGAACTTGATCCAATGACTCAATGAGTAACCGAGATCTACAAAAAACCTCCATGCATGAAATTCTATGTGAAAAGCCTTTCCCGACGTGTGTAAGCGCATGTGAGTCTCATTTTGTTCGTTCGACCTCCGTTTGTCAGTTTTTTGTCTTGACTTCGATATTAACATAATTATGCTTGAATTAGGATCTACGAGAGAAATTTCATAAATTCTTGAGCTCCAAACACGTGGAATAGCTGGCACAAGAATGTAAACGTCATTCAAGTAAGTAACCACATAAACTTTAGGCAAGTAATACTTGTATAGATCGCTAGGACATGATAGCATGCGAGCATTCCTTAACTTAGGTGGTAATGTTAACGACCTCAGAAAAGCTTTCTTTTTATGAGTATGTATTGTACGTATGTCTTTTATGTATTATATGCATGATTAAAATACAAATTGAGCAATATGGATGAGTATGTTATCCATGATGGAAGAAATTACCAAAATGCCCCTATGATAAAATTTCGTATGAATGTCGTTTTCTATGCTTTCCATTGCATAGGAAATTAGAATTGGTAAGAGCGACGTGTGCTTCGCAAGCACTAGAAAATCTTGATAAGATTAGGACGCAATAGCGTGTGCAGAATCTTGATAAGGTCCATAGATTTCTAGTGGACTAAATATGATAAGAATCTTTATTATTTTTAATTTCATAATGTTTGAAATTGTCAAAGTGTCAAATTGACTTCGTCTTTCGTGGAGATTTAAGGGGATCGAAATTAAATCATGGCCACAAATGTCACTTATGGGGAGTATAAGTACCAAGAAATTGTTATGTAAAAATCAAATTCGTGGATGAATGAAATTGAGATCTCAAATTTAGACGCTTTCTTAGAAATCGAAATATCATATTTGTCATCTCTAAGTTTCAAGCAATTCTTATGGTAGAATTGCATCCGAGCCATTCAATCAAGCCTTGATTAAGTTTGATTGCGGAGTGACTCGATTTAAAACAAGGTTTCCAAATCTTGCTTCTAGATCTTCGATCGTAAGAGGTAATCTAATTCTAGCCTTATCTCTTGGTTGATCCAAATTTTGTATAAGTAGGTGTTAATTACTTGGATTCAAGTGTTCTTGCTTCAACAAAAGCATGATTTGTTGGATTGAGGATTAGCGTTGCTTTATCAAAATACCGTAGAATAGTGAGCGGTGATAAAAAAATCTAGACCTGTGTTTACCCAAAGAATTGATTAGAGGCCCCTAATAAAATAGCAGATCAATACGACTCCAAAGAATGACCAAGGTAACTATTTAGACTATGAGATGCGTGAATGCTACGCTATCTTTAGACCCTCCAATCCCTTTCCACTAGAATATTAGTACTATTGAGCTAAGCACATGCTAGTTAGCGTAGTTTGAGCTTCTATTCCGCTGAATGGCCAGTGGTCTCTTGAATACGGGCACTATGTTGTTAACCTATTCCTTAAAGAGGGAGTGTGGGATAACATGAGATAGCCTAATTGCTGGCTAATGCAGAAGTATCACATCCCCCAAATACAGGTGACTCTCTGGCCCTAAGGAAGAAACCAACCAACCTCTTTTCAAAGATGTTCATACTAGAAATCACCGTATTGCCTGATTAGAATTTTATGAGGACGTGCCTCAACCTAGGTATTCAATCCCTCACTGCATAAGCAAAGCAAGTTTCCATGGTCAAAGAATAGAAAGATGGTACAAATAAGTAAGAAAAGGTATCATCTAGGCTGTTACTTCAACTTCCTTTTACACTTTCGTAAAAGTACTGTCGAGCCATGCCTAGGCCAACTAGGATTGTGTGAACGATAGTTCATTTTGATTATCCTGCATAGTAGATCCGTCAAAAGAGGGGACGTAGGATTATGAGGGTAATCTTAATAGTTGACAAGCATAGGGGATCACTTCCCTAACCTTGGGTGACTAGATTGTCCTGTGGGTAGGGTTCGCCAACCAACCTCCCATGGATGATGAAAGCAGCCTAGCACTTACCATGCAATCCCAATTAAAATTTAGGCATGTATCTTTGGTGCAATGCATATCTTTGTTCATTTCATACATTACATAACCATTTCTTATCATTACATAAGGTGAATGTACTCTATGCTACCATACTTTCATAATATGTCACATTCGCAATTGCATAATAAGTAAACATGAAATTACAAAACGTAACATTTGTCATCATAACAACACGTCATAACATAATATGTAATTATAGAAATCACAAGGGACGACACAAGCAAGGGCCACTAGGCATCCGCCACTCGTGCTTCAAACAATTCATTGAACCAAAACAGTAGTGAAGAAACTTACCAAGGTAGCTAAGTTGAAGTCCCTAAATCGTACTTGGAGCTAGTTCAATTTTTCCCCTTGAAATCCAAGTAAACCTATGCGAGTTCACGATACTTAATTAGCACAAATCGAGCAAAATGAAATACGGATGAAAATTCAGAATACTGTTAACATAATAGAAAAGAAAAATAAAAGAAAAATACAAGAAGACAAAGGAAGAAAAAGGAGATATTGTAAAGCCAAACCGTTAACGAAAAAGAATAGAATAGAATAGAAAAAACAAAAAGAAGAAAGAAATATGGTAAGAAAATTTAAGGGAAGACGTGGGAGCAAGAATTGATTAAAAAAAAAAGGGGAAATTTAAAGAATTAAAATAAATACGGTTAATTTTAAAAATACATAGATGAAATTTAATAGAGTAAATGGTGAACATAATTAAAATTAATAGAAAATGAAGTAGATGAAAAAGAGGAAATTTAATAGAGAAAAAATTAAGGATTTTGTAAGCATTAAAAGATAAAACGGAAGAAATATCATGTCAAGAAACTCCATCAAATTTTTTCTAGTAACAATATCTTCCCTAAAAAAGTAATAATAGAAAATAAAATATTTAATGAAAATGGAATTTTATATATATATATATATATATATATATATATATATATATATATATATATATATATAACCCTCCAAGACTCGGCTCATAGAATCTCTAATGCTCACATGATGTCTAACACATTGACCATTGTAAAATTTAGAAAATTGAAATAAAAAAGGAAGTAGATGAAAAAGAGGAAATTTAAAAGAGAAAAAATGAAGGATTTGGTGAACATTAAAAGATAAAACCAGAAACTCCATCAAATTCTGTCTAGTAACAATATCTTCCGTAAAAAAAGTAATAAAAATATATGGTTAGGTTATGGGTAGAAAGGGATAGGATTTTGATAGATTGATAGAACGATAGCGTTAAGATACGTTCCTGTAACGATATGATTAAGGTACATTCATGAAACGATATCACTGCGATAGGTATAAGAATGTTAAGGCTATGATAAATTAGGGAAGAATATGACCATGAAGTGTTTACGATACGATATGAGTATGATACGACACCTGAATTACAGATATATATATATACACATTGTGATATGATATGAAAATGACAAGTGATAAATGACATGTTTATGATTTGATATATTGTGATGGTATATGTAACACCCGAACCCCAACGAGAAACTTAAAACCTAAGTTTTCTCCTGAACGTCTGAGATTTTATTGAGCATCTTAGAGACTGAATTTTAAGATGAGGTAGAAGAAAAAAATGTTTAGAAATATCTCAGGATCTCAAGAAAAATATAAAAAGAAAAATGGTGAAAGTCAACCCAGGGATAATTTGGTCATTTTGTCATCTTCCTCCTTAAGAACCTCACATGGAGGTTAGTAAAAGATAAATAAAAGAATAGAAATAAAAAGGGGAAGGAAAGAGAGGAAAGAAAAAGAAAATAGAGAGAGAAAGAAGGTTCTAAAGAAAAGGAGAAGTAACCGCTCCATCCCATCTGGCCACAAGGAGTCTGATTCCAGTGAGATTTCTTCACAAATCCTTCGCAGAACCTATAGGAAGCTTTCTGGACCCTTGAATCATTCAAAACTGTCAAGGAACGAAGAAAATCTGTAGGTAAATTCTTGAACATTTGTTTTCGGATTTTCCTCAGATCTATGAGAAATATTGAGAGTTAGATTATGATATTTGAGTATGTTAATTCAGAGAAGATTACACTCTTAATCCGTGAAGGAAGTCTTGATCGATTCAGATCAGAAATAGGAGTTCCGGCTTTCACCAAAGGATGTAAGTATTGATAATCTTGCCAACTTTGGACCAAGTTTATTATGTCTGTAGTTAGAAATAAATTACAAGAAAAATATCTATATGTAGATGGATATGAGATCTATAAATCTCGTGAAGAAATCCCGTTAATCCGAGCTGTGTAGAAAGAAATACAAAAATGCAAAGAAAATAGAAATAATCAGTTTTATGGAAAATTGCAGAGATGAGAGGAAGAAGACGAACGATGGAGGGACGCGTGTCAGGAAAGGAGAGTGCCGCGTGTCACGGTCATGCTCGTCCAGGGCATGTTGCCCATGGCCGCATGCCCATGACAAGCCAAACCCTTGTCATGTCTTTTCATTCTAGTGTTTTTCCTTTTGTAATTCTAGGGCACATGACGCCTCAAAAATATCAAGTCTAGGCCTGCTAGACTTAAAATGGCTCAGAATGTACTATACGGGGATATGACTAGTTGTCAACTTCTCCCTACCCAAGGTTATATATGCTAAGCCGTTGTTATCTTTCTCTTGTTTGCTTATATAACGTCTCTTTCCAAAATCTCTCTTTCTAAAATCTCTCTCTCCTCGTTTTCTAAAACCTTCTTTTAAAATCGAGGCTAGAGGCTCGATCATACGTCGCTTGGCCGTAGGCGACGCAAGAACAATTGGCTTAAGCTCACTTGTCGCTGGAAAGTGAGTGCCACACAATCGCTAGTCCGCTGCCTTCGAAAGCGCGATTGTGTCAAGTGGTATCAGAGCTTTGTTAGCTCCGTAACATCAAAAAGACCGAGATCATGTTGACGACAAAGTCGACACTCAAAGCACAAGCCGACCGACTTACACTAATAGAGGAGGAAATGCTGTTCCTCAAAGAAGTCCCTGACACTCTCCGGTTCCTAGAAAAGTGGGTGACCGAACTGAGTGAGAAAGTCGTAGAAGTCGACGCAATGGGCAACCGCCTGGATGGGTTGCCAATCGCAGAACTGATGTTTTAAGTGACCTCGCTCGAAGAAAGAGTTGCTCCTACGAGCAGCCCAAAACCGTCTGGTAGTCTAGATAGCTCTGTCGCGCACAAAGAGGGACATTGCGAAGAGTTCAACGTATTACAAAATACAATGATGAGTTTGTTCAATGGATTAGCTAATGAATTCAGAACAACGATCGACGACCTCCAAGAGAGGATGGCCGCCATGAGCACTCGAATTGAAGTGACCATGAAAGCCGTGGAGGGCGTCACGGCTGGGAAAACTAATGCAGGATCCAACAAACTAAGGTTCCCAGACCCTAGAGCCTTCAAAGGGAATCGGGACTCCAAAGAGTTGGAAAATTTCATCTTTGATGTCGAACAATACTTTAAAGCCACGACGGCTTGTACCGACGATAAGAAGGTGACTGTAGCCGCGATGTATCTCATAGACGACGCCAAACTGTGGTGGCGTACGAAGGTGCAAGACATCGAGGATGGATTGTGCACCATCGACTCATGGGAGGACCTCAAGAGAGAGTTGAGGGAATAATTCCTCCCCGAAAATGCAGGACATATAGCAATGGAGAAAATAGTAGCCTTGAAACACATTGGAAACATACGGGACTATGTCAGACAGTTCTCAACCCTGATGCTAGATATCAAGGGCACAGTAGAGAAGGACAAGGTGTTCTTCTTTATAAATGGGCTACAGCCATGGGCCAAAACAAAGATACATGAGAACAGAGTCCAGACCCTAGCTGCCGCAATGACCTGCGCCGAGAGACTCGTAGACTGTGGGAACAAAGCAGGATCCCAAAGAAGAACGAGACCGGCCCCAAACACTGTGGGCAAAACATATAGGCCACCAGGTCATCGAAATGGAAGCCCCAACAGACCGAGCGGATGGACGAATAGACCTCCTCAGAACAATCAAGCGGGGACATCTCGAGGGCCTTACCATCAAAAAAACCACCCGACAACGCCTTTGCAATGCATGCTGTGTAAAGGCCCCCACAAGGTATCCTACTGTCCTCATCGGGCCTCTCTCACTGCACTCCAAGTGTCCATTCAAGAGAGCAATGAGGCAAGGGTCGAGACTATGCTAGAAAAGAAGGAAGATCATGACAACCCCCGAATGGGCGCACTCAAATTCTTGTCAGCCCTCCAATGGAAAGCCGAACCGAAGGAGATAATAGAGAAAGGGCTCATGTTCGTAGATGCAACAATAAATTCTCGACCGAGCAAGAGCACTCTGATAGACTCTGGAGCAACCCACAACTTCATTGCCGATCAAGAAGCCCAAAGATTGGGACTCACCATAGGAAAGGACTCGGGGAAAATGAAAGTTGTCAACTCCGAGGCCTTGCCTATGTGGGAGTTTCCAAAGGAGTCCCCTTCAAAATTGGGGATTGGACTGGAGAGCTAGACCTTGTCGTGGTTCGCATGGACAACTTCGACGTGGTACTTGGGATGGAGTTCCTCTTAGAACACAAGGTCATCCCAATGCCACTGGCAAAATGCTTGGTGATCACCGACCGCAACCCCACAGTAATACCTGCAAGCATCAAGCAACTAGGTAATCTTCGAATGATCTCGGCCATACAGCTGAAAAGGGGACTCGCATGAGAGAAACCTACATTCATGGCCATACCACTGATGGAAGAAGCAACCACCGAAGAGACTGTCCCAGAGAAATCAAGGAAGTACTAAACAGCTATACCGACATAATGCCAGAGAGTCTACCCCAAACACTACCACCTCGTCGAGGCATTAGCCATGAAATCAAACTCCTCCCCGGGGTTAAATCGCCAGCGAAGAACGCATACCGGATGGCTCCGCCCGAGCTAGCCGAATTGAGGAAACAACTGGATGAGTTGCTGAAGGCGGGATTCATTCGCCCGACAAAGGCACCTTATGGAGCCCCCGTACTGTTCCAGAAGAAGAAGGATGGGACGTTGCGTCTGTGCATAGACTATAGAGCCTTAAACAAGGTGACGGTACGCAACAAATATCCTCTGCTGATAATATCTGACTTGTTCGACCAATTTTACGGGGCCAAGTACTTCACGAAGTTGGACTTACGATCAGGGTATTATCAAGTTTGTATTGCCGAAGGGGACGAACCCAAGACAACGTGCGTAACAAGATATGGGGCCTTTGAATTCCTAGTAATGCCCTTTGGCCTGACAAATGCCCCAGCTACTTTCTGCACGTTGATGAACCAGGTTTTCTACGAATACCTGGATCAGTTCGTCATAGTATACCTCGACGACATCGTTGTTTACAGCACAACCCTCGAGAAACACAAAGTGCACTTGAAGCTGGTGTTTGACAAGCTACGGCAGAACCAACTGTATGTGAAGAAAGAGAAATGTGCATTCGCACAAACATGCATCAACTTCCTCGGACATGTCATCAGATGTGGACAAATTAGTATGGATAGCGACAAGATAAAAGCTATCCAAGATTGGAAAGTTCCTACTTCCGTATCTGAGTTGCGATCCTTCTTAGGATTAGCCAACTACTATAGGTGGTTCGTCGAAGGGTTTTCACGACGAGCCGCCCCATTGACAGAGCTATTGAAGAAAGACCACCCTTGGTCGTGGTCGAATGATTGTCAAATGGCCTTTGAAAATTTGAAATCAACCATGACGAGTGGTCCTGTCCTCGGGTTGGTAGATGTCACAAAGCCATTTGAAATAGAAATCGATGCTTCCGACTTTGCTCTAGGTGGGGTCCTTATTCAAGAAGGCCACCCCATCGGTTACGAAAGTCAAAAGCTCAACGATGCCGAATGAAGATACACTGTCTCCGAGAAAGAAATGCTGGCTGTAGTCCATTGCCTTCGAGTCTGAGACAGTATCTCTTGGGATCACAGTTCGTAGTGAAGACGGATAATAGCGCCACCTGCCACTTCTTTGATCAACCAAAATTAACAGCAAAACAAGCCTAGTGGCAGGAGTCGTTGGCCGAATTCGACTTCAAGTTCGAACATAAAGTAGGAAAGAGTAATCAAGCAGCCGACGCACTGAGTTGGAAGGGTGAACATGCGGCCCTGTGCATGTTAGCCCATATTCATTCAAGTAAGATCGATGGATCGATGCGCGACATCATCAAGGAACATTTACATAAAGACCCATCGGCCAAAGCCGTCGTTGAACTAGCTAAAGCTGGAAAAACACGACAGTTTTGGGTTGAGGGAGACCTCCTGTTGACCAAAGGAAATAGATTGTATGTCCCAAGAACGGGGGAACTGAGGAAGAAGCTCATTCAGAAATGTCATGATACCTTATGGGCCGGACACCCTAGTGGCAAAGAACGTACGCCCTAATAAAGAAGGTGTACTTCTGGCCAAACATGCGAGACGACATCATGCAATACACCAAGACGTGCCTCATCTGTCAACAAGACAAAGTCGAGAAAGCCAAAGTCTCTGGACTCTTGGAACCTCTACCTGTGCCAACAAGACCCTGGGAAAGTGTATCTCTGGACTTCATAACACATCTCCCAAAAGTCGGGGAATATGACGCCATCTTGGTTATTGTAGACCGATTCTCAAAATATTCGACATTCATCCCCACTCTAAAATTATGCTCGGCAGAACTCACAGCCCAACTGTTTTTCAAACACGTTGTAAAGCTATGGGGCATACCGTCAAGCATCATCAGTGATAGGGATGGCAGATTCATTGGGACATTCTAGACTGAGTTATTAGCTTTCTTGGGAACAACCTTAAACATCTCCTCGTGTTATCACCCTCAAACCGATGGACAGACAGAACGGTTCAATTGCTTGCTCGAAGAATACTTACGTCACTTCGTCGACGCTCGCTAGAAGAACTGGATACAACTGTTAGATGTCGCCCAATTTTGCTTCAATTGCCAAACAAGCTCGTCTACAGGGAAGAGTCCCTTCGAAATTGTAAGTGGATGACAACCGGCCTTACCCCATATTATTGATCATCCTTATGCAGGGAAAAATCCTCAAGCTCACAACTTTACAAGAGAATGGAAGCAAACGAGAGATATAGCCCAGGCATATTTAGAGAAGGCTTCCAAGCATATGAAAAAATGGGCGGACAAGAAGCGTCGCCCCCTTCAAATCCGAGCAGGAGATCAAATTCTTATCAAGCTGAGACCAGAATAGATCAGATTTCGCAGCCGAAAGGATCAGAGACTAGTTCAAAAATATGAAGGCCCGGTTGAAGTCCTTAAAAAGATCGGGGCTACCTTCTACCGAGTGGCATTACCCGCATGGATGAAAATCCACCCAGTAATTCATGTGAGCAACTTGAAGCCCTATCATCC